GGTGGCGGGGACCGCTTTCAGAGGCTTCCCCAGTGCATTTCCACTGCCTATTTACAAGCTGGGGAAGCCTCTAAGAGCACTGCGGATCAGCTATAAGGCGGGGAGGGGGAGGGGCTGAAGCGGGGAGGCTGGCTCCCGGGGCTCTTTTCTGGGATGATCGCTTCCCCCACCCATCGCAAGCTGTGCAAAAATGGAGCATTTGCGATGATGGGGGGAGCCATCATCTCAAAGCAATTTTTCCCTATAGGGAACATCGCAATGCCATCACAAAAGCGATCGCAAAATCTTCATCGCTATGCGGATTCGTCGTTAAACGGAGCGCCCATTAAGCGAAGCACCACTGTATTGAACTTCATAGTGTGATTTTTTTCAGAATGATTTGCCCCATAGAAAGCCATCTGAGTTTGTGCTCTTCGTCTTTTCAAGCCTTGGTGCAACTCAGCACTTCCGACATTCTGCGTTAGGTGGGCAGCTCAGCAGCTTAATTTAAATAATGAGCCTTCTCTCTCTCTCTCTCTCTCTTTCTGTCTGTCCCAGGAACTGCTAGTCCATTTTGATTAAAAGTCCCGCTGTTGGCAAAGTACAGAGCGGAGGGGACCACAGAAGCTGTTGGAAGCCAGTATCCTCTTGGATCTATGCTGATGCAAATGAGTGCCTTCTCTCAGGACTGGTCCATGAAAGCCCCATGAATCCATATCCAGATGCTTCTGTGTATCAGTTATCAGCGGTGGATTTGAACTTGAGAAAGAGGACCCTGTGCAGTGCCCGGCAATGCCATCGCCATTGTTATCCCTCGTTTCTTGAAAGATTGTTCCATAAAGATATTTTGTTTCCAATTGGTCGTACAGTTCAGAAGCCTCCATTTCTTTCCTTTTTTTGTAAAATCCGCTGCCAACTGTTTGGTTCCACTGTTATCCAAAATGTTTCCTAAGGTGTTGCCTTTGTCCTTGTTCTGTAGAATAAGGAAGCTGAGCGATATGGGGAAATACTGAAGCCCCGCTGGTTTAGAGCTCGTACTGATTCATATATGTTTATGTGTGCTTGAAATGGACCAAGGCATTCCTTCTCCGTGTTCCAAGGCATTTTCCTAAGAACAATAAAAAGAGTTGAATGAACACTGACTACTATCTTCCAATCTGGGGTTTCAAAAATGATAATTCCTTTCCCCTCCTTGTTGTTGCCTCTACTGTCATTCTTGAGATGCAAGCAGACAGGCTGATTGTTCTGCGCTGATGATTGAACTCTCTGCTTAGTTTCAAATCATACCAGTTGCATGATTCAAACATCCATATTTATTTATTTATTTATTTAATTTTATTTGACTTCTACCCCACCCCTCTAGACAGAGTCTACTCAGGCTGGCTTACAAACAATTATAAAACATCATAAAATATCATCATATAAAATCATCATTGTAATTATCCAAATATGTATAAAACAATCACATGATTAAGTCAACAAATTAGAAGTTCAGGATGGAGGAAGAAGAAAACTAATAAGAAAAAGAATCAAGTGTTGACTGGAGGGAAGGCCTGCCTGAAGAGCCAGGTCTTTAAATGACTTAAAAACACCCAGCGAGGGTACCAGGGTGATTTCCGGCGGCAAGGTGTTCCATAGTCGAGGGGCCACTGCCGAGAAGGCCCGGTTTCTTGTTCTTTCTTTCTGGGCTTCTCTTGGCGTTAGGCCGCTCAGCCGTCTTTCCTGGCTAAAATGGTTGACTTGGGTAGATCTAGGTGGCAGAAGGCGTTTCGCCATGTATCGAGGTCCTAAACCGTTTAGGGCTTTATAAGTCATCATTAACACTTTGAAGTGGATGCGGAAACGAATAGGAAGCCAATGCAAGGCAGCCAGAGTGGGAGAGATGTGCTGGTACTTTCTCACCCCACTAAGGAGTCTGGCCGCCTCATTTTGCACCATTTGAAGTTTCCGCAACAACCTCAAAGGTAGCCCCACGTAGAGTGCATTACAGTGGTCTAATTTTGAGATTACGAGCGCATGGACCAGAGTGGTTAGCACCCAAACATCAAGATAGGGACACAGCAGGGCAATCCGCTGCAGATGGAAATTGGCGGAACGGACCACTGACGCCATCTGGGTCTCCAAGGTGAGCACCAGGTCCAGGTGTACTCCCAAGCTGCAAACCTCACTCTTTGCGGTGAGAGTCACCCCCCCAAAAGAGAGGAAGTTTCCCAAACCCCAGATGGAGGAGCCACCCACCCTCAGGACCTTCCTCTTGCCCGGGTTCAGCCTCAGCCCATTCTCCTGCATCCACCGCAGTACAGCCTCCAGGCAGCACTCAAGGGACGGGATGGCATCCACTGAGGAAGGTGAAAAAGAGATGTAGAGCTGGGTGTCATCAGCGTACCGATGGCACGAAGCCCCACACCCCCTGATGACCCATCCCAGCGGCCTCATATAGATGTTAAACAGCATTGGAGAGATGATCAAACCCTACAGAACCCCACAGTTGGGGCTCCACAGGGCTGAAACACTCTCTCCAAGCTGGACTTGGTGAGGGCGGTCCTCCAGGAAGGATCGGAGCCAAGCAAGTGCCTGTTCACTGATTCCCAACTCAGAGAGCCTCCCCAGGAGGATTCCATGGTCGACAGTATGAAAGGCAGCTGAAATATCGAAGACGACCAACAAAGATATATTGCCCCTGTCTGCCTCTCTCAACAGGTCATCCAACAGTATGACCAGTGCCGTTTCCGTACTGTGGCGCGGCCTGAAGCCCAACTGAAATGGGTCCTCTTTCATTCAAAAGAGCCTGCAGCTGGTCGGCCACCACCCTCTCCACCACTTTGCTAAGGAAAGAAACATTTGTGACGGGCCTCTAGTTGCCAATGTCGTCCGCCGCCAAATTTGGTTTCTTCCTAATGGGCCTAATGAGTGTCTCCTTGAGGGCAGGAGGAACCTTGCCCTCAAGGAGAGACCCATTAACTATCGCAGTGGTCCATTCAGTTGTTATAGGCCTGGCTGCTTTGATTAGCCAGGACAGGCAAGGGTCAAGGGAGGAGGAGGTGGCCCGACAGCAATCAAGCACTTTGTCCACCAAATCTGGCATCACAGGCTGAAATAATTCGAGTCTCACTGGGTAAGGCTGAGCGCTGGACATTTCTGCTCATTCCACTATCTTTTAAAAAGGAGAGATCCTGGTGGATGGCCTCCATTTTAAATTTTTAAAATGCTGCAAAATGGTCAGGTGACATATTAGTGGGAGGCCCATCACCCAGAATACATCACGAACTATGCAGAAAAGCTCCACCTGCTAATTTGAAGCTTTGCTTATCCGGCATGGAGGCTGATGGCACTGCCTCAGTGGGGGTTTGAAGTCAGAGTTTTCCTTCTCCTCAATAACCTGCCTTACCAGGCTAACAAGTCCCACC